ATATACAAGGAGGGAAAAGTTTCCTTTTTTAGAAGCTTTGCCGCCAATTCAGCCACTTTATTCTAAAAAAAATAATTTTTTTTAATTTTTGGTGATGATTGTAATTAGGGGTGACCAAGTACTGAACCGATACCGAATTTTCCCGAAAAAACCGAGAATACTGAACCGAAAAATACCAAACCGAAAAAGTACCGAGAAGGAACCGAACCATACCGAACTGAATGGTCGGTACGGTATTTGGGAACGGTACGAGGGGACGTCCCATACCGAAAATCCCGAACTGAACATATACACTAAAATATTATAAAAAATAATACCCTAGATTAATATTTTGATATTCCTTCACTAAATAATACTCTGGGTAATTTTTTTTAAAAAAAAATTGGTTCAAGTTCTATTATGTGTAAATTATACTTTTATTTGAGTTTTTGTTTTTGTGTATGAACATAAAAGTATTCACAAAGATTCGAAATACTCCTTTATTGTTGTTCATTTTTTTAGTTTGTGAAAGATAAACTAAATTTTGATACGCATTGCTTGCATTTAAATATTCATTTTTTTAATTTTTCATGTTTTTTATTTAAATTCACTTTTTAATTTCAAAAATAAAGGGGCAATGTTAAATTTTGATGTGTAAAGTAGGTATGTATATTCATCCCGATTAATACCGAAACCGATACCGAACCATCCTGAACCATACCGAACCGATATATTGGGATCGGGATCGGTACGGAGTAAAATCCCATATCGAACCGAAATATTTGGTACGGTATCGGTACGAGCTAAATACCGTATCATGCCGTACCATACTCACCCCTAATTGTAATCATTGAAAAAAGCAAAAAGCAGATATGGGCTACTCTAAAGTGTAAACTCTTTGTACACGGCTCCATCTTGTCCACCCACTCTTTTCTTCATCTAAGGGTATATAAGACATTTTAAACAATTAAATCTCCCTCCTTGGTATTTGTGCCACTTAAAAAGTGGACAAACATGGAGGGACAAAGGGAGTAGTCGAATACCTTTTTCACCCTTCTTTATTTGTTTAAAATTTTAATAAAAATAATTTAAAATTTCTTGATTCGACGTTCGTGGTTCATTTTCATTTCTTTCATAAGATTTTATTCTTACCAGAACCAAAATCTAACATATCTATATTAATAATCTTTATTTTTTTAATACGTGAACACACATATCTATATTAATAATTTTTATTTTTTTAATACGTGAACTACGCCGCACTCGTAATTTTTTTCAATTGTGACGCTTTCTGCTCTTGCACTCGTCCCTCCATTTTTTCAAGAAAATGCGGTTTATTTAGTGATGAGAGTCAAGGTTATTCGCAATTTTCAAGGCACAAAAACTACCAATCACCCTTGCATGCTGCAGTTTTTTGGTAGGATGAAGATTCAAAAATCTCGGAAAATGGATTTCCTAATTTCCAATACAACTTTAATAGAATAAAAATGACCCGTGAAACACACGGATGTGATACTAGTTCACATTATGTGACCTAGGCATTACTATGGTAAAAAAAAGAGTGTTAACTTTGGTAATACTCCGGGTAATAAAAGAAAAAAAGAAATCAAGTGAAAGGATTAACCAAAACTCCAAAAGACTCAATACCCAAGCGGTGGAGGGCTCCGATGTGAATTCCGCAGATTTACTTGACTCAACCAACAACTCCCTCCTTGTCGAAGTTGCCAGCCGGCGACCCAGATTCCGAGCGATTCACGGCGGCAAGAACAGTATGGATCCGGAGGCGGCACGCACCGCACGCGACTCCCTGGACTTGGCATTTCACATGTCGAACATCCTCGGCACCGGCCTTGACCGCCAAACCCTCTCCATACTCATTGCGCTTTGCGATCTGGGTTTTGACCCCGAGGCCTTGTCCGCCGTCGTCAAGGAGCTCACCACAGAATCTTCTTCTTTCCCGAGACCGCCCGCTCGATCTTGAATCTGTGATTATCCCCAACCCAGGTGATTTTTTTTCTTCAAATTCTTCATAATTTTCCTCCTACTGAATTCTTATGGGGATCTCTTTTTATTAGCAAATTGTGGTGATTTTATTGGGAGTCGGATTTGATTGGAGTGATGTAGATCTGGTTTTGATTACTCTATGAAACCCTAGATTATTGATCTCTTTGGCCCTAAATTATGCCATACATTCTTGATGTAGATATTCCACTTTCCTTTCCTTTTTTCTTCTTGTGTTCAGATTGATCTTTTCTTTAGATGATGCTCATATCCATATTGTTGATGAACACTGTGTAATATTATTCTCCTCATTACCTGCTGATATACAGCACATCATCTTTACAGGGATTGTAAAACTCTTTGATGTTGTTTAGGGATTCAAACATGATGGCAATCGCTTTGAACGTTCGAATGTGGCTTCGCTTGTGCATGGAGCTATCATCGCCATCTCGCTATGATTACCAGTATTGATCTTTGTTATACTTTTGTTCATCTTTCATCACTGTAGTACTTGTTTTTCTTCATCTCATATCATTGTTCTTGTCTGTGTTCCGAAGAGGAGTGTTAGGGGGACCTTAGGATTTTGACATCAAATGTATCCCAATACCAATACAGACACACCCAGATATTTAATGTCTGTGCACACAGACATTGAATGTCTGTGTTGTGTACATTGAATGTCTGTGTGTGTTTGTATTGGCCTTGGTCTGTGTGTATTGGCCTTAGTGTGCATTACGGCTGATGTTTTTTAGTTTATGGAGTAAGATTTTTTGGGTAGGGATTCCCATCTCACATGCTGCCACTTAAATAAAATGGAATTAATTCCTAATCAGTGCTGCTTTTGAAAAAGCATTCCCCATCAGTGTATGTCAGAAATGTCAAAACTCGAACGGATATGGCTCTACCGTTTGGAGATTTTAAAAGCTTTTGGGCCACAAAATATTGACACGTCATGGTAGAACTTCTACCTTTCCATTTTTTTTAATTTTTAAGCAAATATTTTAAATATTGAATTTGCTTTATGTTGGGGACCGAAAATTAATTGTTTTATTTGTTCTTTTTAGATAATTTTGATCACAATTATCATTGAATTTTTTTGATAATTTTGATCACAATTATGTAAGAAGAATATTAATTTTTATTTAAATTTAATATAAGTAGGTATATTTTAAGATGTATTTTTTATACTTCAAATTATTGTAACTTTTTTTATTTACCAATATATCTAATTTGAGTTCAAAGAGGCAAAAAGAATCAAACTAGGACGATATTTTTGGAGAAAACTGTTAAATAGAACTAAAATAAAGTTGAAACGTTTTAATAAATCAATCTCAAAAGTTCACATCATAAATCAAATTTTTCATTTATTCTCTTATAAAGTTGACTTACCGAAAAACTCAATCATTAGGGACTCACTACATTGTCCCAGGACAGTATCACGATGACAGTAGCAACTCACCGCTCTTCCAGTTCTTGCATGAGGGATGTACGTGAATTTTTAATTTTATACTTTTTTGAGCAATAGTTCATCACACACTTTTTTAATAATTTTATAGAGTAAATTCCATAAAAGGTTCAGTTATAGGTCGTTTTACATATTTAGTCCCTACATATCAAATATTACTAATTTAGTCCCCAATTATTATATTCATTTCCACGAATGGTCCTTTGTTAATATTTCCGTTAAAAACGTGGATAAAATTGTAAATTCACACTCCTTTCTCTCCTCAATTAAGCTTCTTCCCTCCCCTCGCACTCCTTTTCCAAACCCGTCGCTGAGTTTAAAGCTTTGAACCCAAAAGCGAAATCATCACTCTTCTCTCAATTGTTTGTCTAACTGGTGAAACCCAAATTCGAAACCATTAACCTTCATGGATGAGTTTTAATATTTATTTTCTTTGCAATTTCTTGAGACTAACCGATAAAACTTATTTATAATGCTTATTGGTTTTGATTTTAGGTTTTATCAGGAAGACTAATAATTGAGAGAGGAATGATCATTTCAGTTTTGGGTTTAGAGCTTCAAACTCGGCGACGAGTTTGAAAAAGAGTACGAGAGGAGGGAAGAAGCTTAATTGAGGAGAGAGAGAAGTATGAATATACAATTTTATCCATGTTATTAACAAAAACGTTAACAAAGGATCCTTCGTGAAAAATGATATAATAATTGAGGACTAAATTAGTAATATTTGATATGTAGGAACTAAATATGTAAAACGACCTATAACTGGGGACCTTTTATGGAATTTACTCTAATTTTATGTATCAATCAACTAATTAATATTCTTGAATTTAAATATCATTTATCTCTAAAAAATTCTCCATTAAAAAAAACATTAAAATTAGAAAAACAAATAAAGTATAAAAGAATAATGTACAAAATATAAATCTAAAACATTAAAATTAGAAAATAAAAAACAACACATAAAAACATTAAAATTTGAACGGTAGAAGCTCTACCGTTATATACTTTTTCAGATGGGTCAGGTGGTCAGCAGCATCCTTCACTCTTTGGGAATACTTTTTAAAAACTTGCACTGGTTGGGAAATGACCCAATAAAATGTGGTTCAGTTTCATTGTTGTGCTATGTGAAAACATTTGAGAGAGTGAGGACATGACATGAGGTGGAATATCATTTTTGGGACAGGAGATCCATTCTCATATTTCTTACACTCTATAAATTATCGGTGGGCGTTGTGCAAGGGATATTCGAGGGGTAATATATCAGGAGTTTATTGCACTAATACCTCCTCTAGTTTGGTATATGTGCGTCATTACCTCCATGATTTCAAAGCTTACGTTTTCCTTCTGATATTTTAATTTGTTACGCCAATGTCTCTGGACAAATATGTCATTCAAATAAAAAGTGAATAGTTCTGCTGCCCCCCTTATGATCTTAGAAATTGCACCAACGCTCCTCCTTTTTCTTTATTGTTTTTTATTTTCTTTTCTTTTTTCATAAAGAGAAGAAAAATATTCTCTTCACTTGATCTAAATAGTTCTGATCTGATTGTAATAAGATTTGGTATGATTTGATCTGACTTAAATATAGTTATATTTAAAGTTTTTTTATTAGATTTGGTTTAGTTTGATTTGATTTTAATAAAAATACGTAATAAATAAAAAATAAGTTGAAGAGAACATGGTCTTAGCCAGTGCTCCCAACTCATCTGAATCGAGCTAAACCAATTTATAATTTAAAAATACTAGAAACTCGAGATCACTCACAGCACAGATACCAATTGTTTGTAAAATTGTACACACATAAGCGATAATCGTTTATATACAAAGTGATAAATGCCTATAAACTGTGTTTTCCCAAATGTATGTGTGTACAGATTTATAGACGTACAAATTTATAGACAATTCTGTAGTATCAACTATGGCATGCTTTTAGCATTGTAAAATTCAATTTCCATTATGCTTGACATTTCACAATGTTTTTTGCATTTGACATTATTTTAACATTTTCCTTGTAAACTCTTTTTTAGACATCGATTATATGAATTTTATGTTGTAAATATGTAAGCAAAAGAGTATAATTCTGCTAAAAAATTCAATGAAATACATAAAAGCGTTAATTCTATATTCCAAGCAATATTTTGATATTTAAACATTAAAGAACAGACTTCCTAATTTTATAAATTTTATTAAAATTAATTTTAGTCAAAATTGTAAATAACAACAGACTTGTAATTTAATACGGAGTAGCTAGTACCAATACTTTCTAAAATACATACTCCGGATACATTGAGGTAATCATCGAAAAATTATTCACGTTTTTTAATAGTAAAATTTGCACTAAATAGGATTAAAACATAATGACTTTCTTAATGTAGGACTTAAACTTTTTTATTCTCTAAATAAGACTTCATAATGACCTTGTGGGAGAAATAATGTCCAGTAATGATGGATATTTACTTGAATAATGACTATATGATAATGACCAAAAGTCCTACATTAAGAAATAAAAACATATGGTCCTATATTAGGAAAGTCATTATGTTTTAGTCCTATTTAGGTAAATTACTCTTTTTAGTATGAATGCTATTGGATAGAGTCGGTCCTTTGATATTAGTAATCTAGTACAATAGGAAAATTTTAGACATATTTTAATATTTAATACATTTTTAGTACAAATAGATACAATTAAATTCATGACATTACAAAACAAAAAACTTATGACATTACAAAAATATATTCTTCTACTGGCCGGAATATTTGTATTCTATATTTCTAATCAAATAGATTAAACTTTGACTACTCCGTAATATTTTACTTATAATATCAGATTGGTTTTGTTGCCATCGGGCAATGGCGTCACTTACTTTTTGGAGCGCCTCGAGAGCGCTTCGATGCTCCATTCGCAAAACTTATGGTTTCTAGCACCTAGCAATTGGAGGAAGGCAATGGAGCAAGGGTGAAACTTGAAAGATTAGAGATATGAACTACTCCGTATTAATTTTATCAATTTTATGAATAGAATATTAGAGGTGCTCCAAAAAGTCTTTGTCACAGTGTTGCCTAGTGATAATGGAACCAAACTATTATAACAGGCTAATTTTGGAAATATATTTTATACAAGGTTGTGAAATATAATACAAATAACACTCCATAATATTTTATATTTTGAATTATTTAACATATTAGTTTAAAAATAGCATTTCTTAGCTAAACATAAAAGACTAAAACATAGAACTTATACCAAAATTAAATCTCATATATTTTATCTCTTAAATAGGAATATTTGCAATTTGGCATTATGTATTGATATTTTATATATCTCTTAGCACTATATTTTGTTATTATTTGACATTACAAGTTAGGGTGATGCTAAATCCATCACTAATTTTTTTAAATCCACTTCCTTTATAATAAATTGACAACTTTGTTTTTCACATATTTCTTTTCTTTTTCTAAACATTAAGGATAAACTTGTCCATTTCATATTAAAAGAGGTGGATTTATCAACAATCCCTAGGTTATTATTAAAAAATTAAATGTCTTATTTTGATATACTCTCTCCGTCCCGAATTGAATGTCATTGTCACTATTACAGTTTTCTTGATAATTTTTATTTGTTTGTATATTTTCATTAATAATTTGATAAAATAAAATATTTTTATCACCTCTTGTTTTATAGAGTTTTTTATATATACTTTCAAATGGTGCAATTTATAGTTATTATTTCTATTAAACTGCATATAGTTACAATGGAGTTTGAATTTGGTTTTTTTTTTCTCTGTTTAAATTCCCCTTGAGATTTCTGCTCCCATTTCTACTTCTTCTTCTCTGAAACTTGTCTAAAGAGCAAGGCACCATATTCTTACTTGTGATGCCACAAACTTGAAATTAAATGTGATGCAATCAATACTTGTACTCTCAGCAAGCATTTCTTTTATATGTTCTCTGTCAGTCTGTCTTATGTGTGTGTATGTATATATACACACACACACATACATATATATATATATATATATATATATATATATATATATATATATATATATATGTATCCCTTGATCTACTTTGATCAAACACAAAGTGTCCCATTCTTCATCTCTGTTCAAAACTCCTCCATTGAAAAGAACCCTTGTCCACCAAGGTACGCTTTTTCTTTTTAAATTTTAGTAATGGTTAGAACTTAGAATTTAAACACACAACGCACACAATTTATCTGCAACAATAGAGTGAAATGGAACACGAACGACATGCAAGAATTTTGCATGGTTTGATTTTTTAATTCACGACTAGAATGAGGGGAATTTTATTTCATTTGGTGTCTTATGAAAAATAGAAGCAGAATTTGTCTATATATAACGAAATAATTAGGACTACCAACTTGTTAACTAAGAAAACATAAATGAGTTTGATTTAGTAAATCTAAGTCAATTGCTCCTTTAATCTACTGCAACAATTTAGTCTTGGAAAAGAACCGAGCCCAACCCATATCGAGTCTCCACAAAACAAAAAAAATCTCCCATTTGCAGGCTTGATGATCTTCAAACTACCATCCATATATATTGAATATTTGTACGTCTAGTAATCTTTCTCGACTCTCTTATTACAATGGCCTTCTCATCAATCAATTGAAAGGCCCGTTGAAGCTTCACGAAGCTCCAACAAACCAGTCATGGCTAAACATACCTTTGACTCGTCCTCGATCCTTGCCGGCTCCCATTGCACACACGAATTGCCGGATCCTAGAACACCTTAAGAATAAACAATATGTCAGCAAGAAATTTGCTAGAGATATTTAACCCTGACCTAATGTTACCTAAGAGCTTTGGTTGAAGTATGACTCGTGCTTCAGCTACCACAGACATCTCTACAAGACATCTCTACAGGTCTACCTGAACCTTTCCACACTCGTTCACCCCGAATTTGATTTGTGGCTCTTGTTTCTCTCTTGAAAAGATAACCTTATTCTATCTATAAGATTCTGTGAGCCAAACTTTGTTCAGCTTTTAAAATGGGACGATTATTCCCTCACACGGTAATCCAACTCTATGCAGCAAGCCTCTCATTCTTCCAGTGCCATAACAAAATTTCCCTTGATGACCTTCCACAACCTATTTCCATACTTCACATCATTTCCATGATTGTCCTACTTTCAAAGTCAAACATTTCTTCAAGCTTGCAACAATTCTAACATCCTTCAAAATTCAGAGACCGACTCGCGTCTTCAACATTATGTCACTCATGCCCGTAATATCGAAAGATCTGTCGTCCGATAGTCTTACCTTTCTAATGTCTCTAATAACCATATTCTACAATGTTTTATTGTTGTGCGTATCTTGAAATGAAGCACCAGAATCCATGACATAGGAACCCACATCGCTCTCCGTGCAACATATATACGAAGTGTTCCTCGTCCGTGGAGTGTTCTACAATGTTCAATTATTTTTTATTATGCATTGATTCCTGAAATACCTCACTTCCTTATAGTTCCAGCACATTACACTTGAGTAATCTCGAATCTTTGATTGACTTCTCTTGCTCCAATTCCCATTGCCTAGCTATGTTATTCCTTATACTTGTAACGACATTGATGAACAATTCACCTTATGACTCCACATAACTCCTTCTGACATCCTCGCCAAGAACGAGATCATAAATCTTATGAATCCATGTGGTTTTGTTGAGCTAGTAACCATTGTAACTATTCTAGACCAATTATCAAGCAATTATAATAGCACTTCATAATCGAACTTAATGCCCACTAAAAAGAGTTGCTAAGATCAAATTCAATTGATGTGCTCTATACCAGAAACCCTAAACCTTAAACCCTAAATTCAATTGATCCCCAGAAAATTACCCACGGGTGACGCAAGTTTTGTTGAAATAACTCTCAGGTCCCTCTATTTTCAAAAAGACAGCAGAGGTCCTTACATTTTGTTGTAATGACTAGAATGGGACATTTCATCCAATATTTCATCTATAAACGCTAATAAATGTATTTTTTTCCTATTCTTTTCTAAATATTTTAAGGTAATAAATCTTAGGTCGCTCCTTTTTTTATTTTTTTGTTTTTCTTTCATTTTGTTACTATTTTTTAAAGCGTTATTTTAGAATTTCTTATATAAAATCGTATAAAAATTCAAAATTGCTTGTATTATATTTAAAACAAATGAAATAAAAAAATTTTAAAAAAAGAAAAAACAAGGTAATGGCAAAATAGGAAAAAACGATATTGGAAAAATAGAAAAAAATACATTTATTAATACTTACGGATGATGTATTGGATAAAATATCTCCTCCCAATCATTACAACAAAATATAAGGACCTCAGTTGTCTTTTTTGTCACCTGCAAGGAATTTTCTGTGCTCTATATTGACATGCTTTCCTTCATCTTCCTGTTCATCAATTCTCTAACAACAAAATTGAAAACTTTCTGCCTGGAAAAATTTTGGACCATGCTACACTTACACCAAAAAATATACCTCATTTGTACACCATAGGTTTGCACAAAATTTCGATGGTTTACACCGACACAAGTGTTGGTGCGTTAATAAAAATTCACACGGACACAAATGTTGGTGCGTTTAACAAAAATTAGTTTTACACCAACACAAAGTGTTAATGCAAAACTGCGGGGTACAAATTAGGGTACAAAACTTGGGTACATAGCATAATCCAAACACTAAACACCGCCTGCAGATCCTAAAAAAATCAACCAACATTTTTTTCCTTCGGAGACTGCGGAGACTGTGGAGGGTTGTTCGGCAATGCGATTAGGAGATGGAGGCGCGGTTTTGGACCTTCTGCACGGCAGCACCAACTGGACGACGGCGGCGGTACCTCGAGCTCCTGGGCGCGGCGGACGGCGGAGGACCTGTTCTGTCCCCTTACTGCTCGTCGGCGGCCGCGGCTCTATAAAGCCAACGGCAGACTGCTCTGCTGCGCGAATGTCCCCACCTTCACAGAAACGGTCTTCAGCAGCAACATATCTGGATGGCGGCTCCCGGGCTATGAGCGAAGTGAGTGGGCGGCGTGACGGCGGCACTCTACCTCCCCTGCGGCGAGATCGAGCGGTGAACCCTTCTGATTAGCACTACTACCCTATTGCAAAATGAAGATAATGCAGATGTTGAATTGATAAGATATGGTGTTCATGGGTTTTGATTGAATGAGATTATAAAAATATATTGTACCATGCCAATAAGTTACTATGATTCTTTCTTATTTGTTAGGATAAAAGGAGCTACATGCCTTGAATTTGGAGGATGGAAGTGGTATCTGCCATATTTGGACCGGTTCTCGAGCGTGTTGTAAAGCCAGTTTTGAATGAGATTGGGTATGTGTTTATGTACAGTTGCAATGTCGAGAATTTCACAAAGAAAGTGGACCGGATGAAGGTCATGAGGGATGGAGTGAAAGAAAGGGCTAGCGCGGAGGAGGACAACTTGCAGGTCATAGCACCAAATGTCAATGCATGGCTTGTTAGAGCAGACCAAATCACCCAAGTGGAAGAGAGGATTATGAATAAGAAGCCGGCCGTTGAAAAAGGTTGGTGTAAAGGTTGGTGCCCGAATGTCAAGTTGCGTTACACATTGAGCAAGAAGGCCAAGAAGAGCACAGAAGATGTGGTTGAACTCCTAGTGGAAGGTACTGCTTACATAAATTTTTCTCGTCCCGCCCCTCCTCTTCAAGTTGAATTTATTGGGCATAGACAATATGTCGAATTCAAATCAAGAAAGTCCAATGAAGATGAAATCATTGAAGCACTCATGGATGATAAGATCAACCTCGTTGGGATTTGTGGCATGGGGGGAGTGGGAAAGACTATGATGGCTAAAAAGGTTGGGAAGAAAGTAAAGGAAGAGGCAATGTTTGATGAGGTTGTAATGGTATCAGTCGGTCCAAAACCAGATCTTAAGAAAATCCAAGAAGGTATCGCCGAGGCATTAGGTTTCCAATTAAAAGAAGATAGTTTGATTGTCAGAGCAAACAAGCTTCAGAGGAGAGTGGCTCTAAGAAAGACACTTTTGATTCTAGACGACGTTTGGGCACGGTTAGATTTGGAGGAACTCGGTATCTCTTTCGCACTCTCAAAAGAGTGCAAGATCATGCTAACTTCTCGACACCGAGACACTTGCGTTCAAATGGAGGCTCAAAAGACTGTGGTGATTGAGGTGTTAAAAGAAGACGAAGGGTGGAGCCTGTTCAAAGAAAGAGCTGGCAGTTGTGTTAATGAACCAGGTATAAACCGTGTCGCGCAAGATGTTTCAAGGGAATGCAGCCATCTTCCACTTGCCCTTACAACCGTTGGAAGGGCACTGAGGGGCAAAACACAACACTCTTGGGAGGACGCGCGTGAACAGTTGAGGAAATCTGCACCCTCAAACATTCCGGAAGTGTTGAGGGAAGTTTACCAACCGCTGGAGTTAAGTTACAATCTGTTGGAAAGCGAAGAAGCACAATCTCTTTTTCTGATATGTTCTTTATTCCCAGAAGATTACTGCATTCCATTAGATTTCTTGATTTGGTATGGTTTGGGGCTTAGGGTGTTGAAGAATGTCAATGGTTTGGAAGAAGCTAGGAGAAGAGTTAGTAGACTGGTTGAGATGCTAGAGGACCGATTCTTGTTAGACGATGCAGGTGAAGGGAATGAGAAGTTTTCAATGGTTAACTATGAGAAATATGTGAAAATGCATCACGTTCTTCGGGATGTGGCCATATACATTGCCAACAAGGAAGATGATGTTCTTATCTCAACTCATGATATTGAGTGGCCTGAAGAGATGGCCTACGAACGTCTCACTTGCATTTCCATGGTATCAGATGCATTAACTATCCTTCCTGAGAGACTGAAATGCCCCCAACTTAATGTCTTGCGTTTGCAATGCAACAACGCAACACTGGAAATGCCCGGAGATTTTTTTCATGAAACACCGAGTCTCTTAGGTAATTTTTTGTGTATTTTTCTTCTTGGAAACAGCCTTTCTGCTTCATAGTAAAGGTCTGCCTACACACTCTCCTCACACCACACTTTTACACTCTCCTCACACCTTACTTTTGTGGGATTCTACTGGGTTTATTGTTGTTTGGGTGGGAGGAAAATAAGCACTCCATGTTGTTATTTTTCTTTCTCTCATTGTTTTCCGCTTACAACAAAAGTAAAATAGTTATATTCTTTCTCTCATTGTTTTCTGCTTACAACAAAATAAGTAAAATAGTTATAACTACAGATTTTAATTTCTTTCATATTTCCTTTCAATGGTGTAGTGCTGGATATGCCCGGAAGCTTCTTATGCTCTTTGCCACCATCACTAGAGTGTTTGAAGAACCTCAGGGTATTGTATTTGCATAGCCAGCGCGTTGAGGATATTTCGGTCATAGGAGAGCTTAAACAACTTGAGATGCTCATTTGCTTCTGCAGTGCTAAATCATTACCTGCTAAAATAGGATGTCTGACTAACCTGAGGGTCCTTAACATGGGGGACACTTGCATCCAGAAGATTGCTCGTGGAATATTCACTCAACTAGCACGACTTGAAGAAGTATACTTGATAAATAACAACTGCATCGAAGGGTCATTTCTTCGTGAGATCAGTAACTTAAGATATTTAACCTGTTTGAATATTCAAATACTCGAGGCAAGTCTTCTACAGACAAACATATCCTTCCAGTCATTCCCAAGAAGGTACTTTGTGTTCAGCTCTTCATATTTCCTAGGGGAAGGACACTTGCATAAAGCTATGCATTTATCTCTGCCCTTAATGAGTCCTTTGAGCAATTGGGTTCGCGTCATGCTGAGGGAAGCAGAGGATCTTTACTTGGATGAAAATGGGTCGAAGGTAGCAATAGATGTGTTGGGTATAGAGAGGTTTCATAATGTGAAGAAACTCATACTTCAATATTGTAGCAATGTGGTGTTTTTGGTCAACACTGAGAATTTGGCCTCATCAAGTCAGTGTGTTTTCCCTATCCTAGAGTCTCTTAGCCTCTTGCACCTCAACAACTTTCTAAAGATATGCAACGGTCCGTTTCTGGAAGGTTCTTTAGAGAAGCTTAACCACCTAAGAGTCATTGCACTCCCCAAATTGACCACTTTGTTGGAGGACTCATCTCAAAGAGTCTCTCTTAGAAACCTCCAAATCGTAACGATTGATGCGTGCCCTCGAATGTCAAGCCTATTTTCACTCGCAACAGCTAGCGGTTTGGTGAAGCTAAGAGATCTTGATATATGTAATTGTGTGGCAATGGAAGAAGTCTTTTTAAATGAAAGAGATGGGAGGTCGTTTGTGAGGCAGAAGCTCACATTCCCAAAACTAAACCATGTGAGACTTGAGAATTTGCCAAACCTTTCTTGTTTTTGCCATGGTGTTGAAGACATTGAGTTCCCTCAGTTAATGCACTTGGAGATAACAAATGCACCTAAGTTTACAAGTTTCTGCCCTCCACGAAGCCAGGATGACTTAGAAGGCCTTTCACTCTTTGACTATCAGGTATTCGGTAGTAAACTAGTGATTTAGTTTTGGCTTTTAAGAGATGTTTTTCCGTGGGCAATATTGCTTCTTTAACCCTCCATCTTAAAATGCTCTTTAAATTACAATGGCAAATAAAAAGTTTGGATGGATGAAATGCATAACAATAACGACAAAATCTCGGTATAATCCCAAGTACGTTGTTTAATGTGTCATTTTGACTTAGCCCACTATATACTTGAAGCTAAAAAATGGTAAAAATTAGTCTTTTAGCTCCACTCACAATTGACACAATGGATGAAAAGCACATTTATGCCTAATTAATTTTCCCCTTAAATAAGTATCTTTATCTATAGCAAATGCCAAAGTCATAATTTGTTTTGCTTTGCAGGTCAAATTTGGCTCCCTAAAGAGAATGACACTCAAAATATTGGATGGAGTGAAAGAGATATGGAGCAGCTGCTCCTTCACCAAACTTGAAATTTTGAGCATAGAGTGCTGCAACAATCTGAAATGGCTATTTTGCCCCTCAGTTGCTCACACCTTTGTCAACCTCAAGGAAATGGATATTGCAGAATGCCATAAACTTGAAGAAGTGATTTCAAATGACCAAGTGAAAGGAGGCAACAAACCAGTGTTTCCTAAGCTGGAGAAACTTAAGATTTTGCAGCTACCCGAGCTTCGGGTCTTCTGGCAAGTCGAACATGCTATAGAGCTTCCATTGTTAAAACACTTGGAGATCAACCAATGCCCCAAAATGAAATCTTTTACCCACGGGCCATTGCGAACTCAGAGCCTTAATCTGCTCGTGGTAAATGGGAAAACCGTTGATGGGGATGTTAATGTAGCATTGCACCGACATTATTCGTCATGAAAGGCTATCCCTTCGTCCCTAAAAGAAATTCTTTTATGATAAAATAGTGACTATTATATTTTCTAAGTTGTATTATGAACTACTCCATATTATGTACCCTATATATTGACCGGCGCAATAGTAGCATTCGTATACGAAGCACAATGGTTTAATACAGGCAAAAGATTTACAAATTATTTTTCATAAATTTTCCCGTCCTCAAGTTGGAGCACGTGTTCAACAAATGTCCAACCAATTTATCAAGAACTCATCAAACTAGTACTCCCTTGGTTCTTAAAAATCTTTAATTTCCTGTTTTAATTTTTTGGTCAAATAGTGACACTCTTTGGGTATAAATTAAACATAATCTAAATAAATAAATGATATAAAAATTTGGCATATCAAAATTAAATCCTAAGATGAACGTGATTATATTAAATTTACATTATAATTAGATATACTTTTTTGAGAATTTGTGTTTAAAGTGTCACTGTTTAACAAAAAAAATTAAAACAAGAAAATTTTTAGGATTATAGAAAGATACCAAAAGTTAAAGAAACCAAAATATTTAATTTGTCTGGTTTGTATGGAAACTAGTGAGAAATTACCCCTATTTGTCAACAACTTTTTTCTTTGGTTATAGAAAAAAAAATTATTGTTCGAAGAAGGGGCAGGGTGGGGGGGGCTTGAATTCCGTGTATGAAATTGACCTTAGACTACGTTTGGTACACGGAATTAATGGCATAGAAAAGAAATTGAAGATTTCAAATCCAATTTTATTTTTTAGAAAGTACAAAACTATGTTAAATTGGAATGGAATTCTAATTCCAAATCTATCAATTCTGCATTTTAAATTACATATCAAAGAAAAAGTAATGAAAATCCAAAAATTGAATTCTAAGGATCAAATTCAAATCACAAAGAACTTTTCTCGATTATAACAAAGAAAAGGGTCTTACAAATCAAAAACTAAAATTATAAAATTTAAACTAAAATAATAAAAAAAATAAAAATTAATAAACATAAATTTAGAGAATTCAATTTCAAATTTGAAGTATAAAATTTAAATTTTAAAAACTTAAAACTAAATTTTTTAAAAAATAAAATTTAATATAAAAAAAATAAGATTTAATAATTAAAAACTAGCGATTGAAAATTAAAACTCAAAAATTCAAATATTTAAAATAAAAAAATTAATTTAAAAACTATTATTTAAAATTTAGAATTTAGAATTTAAAATTTAAAATTTAAAACCTAAAGTTTAAAATTTAAAACTTAAAATTTAATATTTAATATATAAAATTTATTATGTAAAATTTAAAATTTAAAGTTTAAAATTTAAGATTTAAAATTTATAATTTTATATTTAAAGTTTTAAATTTAAAATTTAAAACTTAAATTTTAAAATTTAAAATTTAAAATTTAAAACTTAAAATTTAAATTAAAATTCTAAAACTTTAAATTTAAAGTCATAAAATCTAAAATTTAAAATTTAAAATTTAAAATATCAAATTTAAGATTTTAAATTTAAAAATTAATGTTTAAAATTTAAATTTTGAAATATAAAATTTAAAATTTCAATTTTAAATTTAAAATTTGAAATTTAAAGTTTAAAAATAAAAGATCACAATTTAAAATTAAAATTCAATATTTAAAATTTAATTTAAAATTTATGACTTAAAATTTAATATATACTCCGTATATATATATACCATATTCAATATTCAATATTGACTTAAAATTCAATATTTAAAATTTATGAGTTTTGTGAATTTTTGTGATTTTTCCTCAAATGCATACATCATGGAGTTTTGAACTCAAGATCTCTTAGACATTTAATTAAATTTATAACCATCTAAGATATGGTTGCTTTTTGTTACAAGGTCACTTAAACTTTTACTATAGTACGGAGTATTTCGTAATTAAAACTTTTTTCTTGCAACGAAACTTTCTTAAAAAAGAATGAACACCATCTCCGAGGACCATTCAAAACTGATCGGACGATCACTTGAAAGGATGTAAAATTAATTTTACTCTTGGTGACAAATGGCGGAAAATGCACCCGACTCTTTGCCAGCACAAGTTTTTTTTACAGCGTAGGTGAAGAGGAAGTGAAAATCTTTTTAGTTATTCTGAGAAGTCAGAACCTTAAAAATGGAGCAAAGGGCGTTGTCCTGAGCACCACAGTCAACCAATTAAATCATCATACGCCACTCTGTATCATGAGTACAGTTGTAATAATTTCACTTAATCATGAAAAAAATAAAAATTAGCAAAACAGAACAAAAAAAGATTCTCTTAAGATTGATAACACCCCAGCATAAATAGCATTCACCCATTTTTAGATGTAATAATAATTGAGAATAAAATCTTGAAAATGGGGGCACTCACTCTCACGATTCTTACCTGCTAAAACTCTTCTTCTTCTTCTCTCTTAGCCCTGATCGGAGCCCGGCCGCGCCGCCGCCTCCTCCCGATTTCCCGGCGGTTTATACCCAAAACCCAAGACAGAACTTTTGAAATTTTAAAAAAGAAAAGCTGTAAAGTTGCTGTGGGAAAAACAAGATCCACCTCGAACCCCTCCTTCTGTCAAAGGGGCAAAAAAACTCTTCTCTGAGAAAGATTTCATCTTTTTCCCTTTTCTTGATTCGGAATCTTGGAATTCCGGCGGGTTTCCGGTCGGAGATTCTGCGGAAGATATGAGGGAAGATGAGTCGAATTGGTTTGCTAAATGGGAAGACGAGCTTCCATCTCCGGATGAGCTCACCCCTTTATCCCAAACCCTAATTACTCCTGATCTAGCCTTAGCTTTCGATATCCCCAATCCCCAGTCTCAGAATCTCCCTCCGGCGGCTCTAACGCCCTTGATGGCGGACTCCTCCGCGGAATTCGACTCGGCTGATCTGGGCGGCGGCGGCGGAGGCAGCGGCGGCGGGGCTTCCGGTTCCGGCGGCGGGGGAGACGAGCCGGCCCGGACCCTGAAACGGCCGCGCCTCGTGTGGACCCCGCAGCTCCACAAGCGGTTCGTCGACGCCGTGGCCCACTTGGGGATCAAGAATGCTGTCCCGAAGACGATAATGCAGCTGATGAGCGTCGACGGGTTGACCCGCGAGAACGTCGCCAGCCATTTGCAGAAGTACCGGCTTTATCTGAAGCGGATGCAAGGTCTCTCCAATGGAGGCGGCGGCGGGAATTCCGCATCTGGTGGGGTGGATCCGGCGACGGACCACTTGTTCGCGAGCTCTCCGGTGCCGCCGCATTTCCTGCACCCAGTGAGGTCGAATTCCGACCACTTCTTGCCGTTTGTTCCGGTCACCACCGCTACAGGAATGCAACACCCCGGCCACCAGATGGCGGCGGCGGCGGTGGTCGGACACCACCCGCAGTTCCAGCCGCCGTATCGGCATTTCGGGTCGCCCCCGAACGGGCACTTTGATCATTCTTCATTCTTGTCCCGACACTCACAGAGTCCGATGCACAGGATGGGAGGAGGAGGAGGAGCACCACCGTATGTAGACGACGTCGAATCCGCCACGTCAGCTAACCGGAGGAAAGTTCTTACTCTGTTTCCCACCGGCGGCGATTGATTTCAAATGGGTAAAACTGTAATTTGACCCCTCCTTTTTCTTGTCCAAATCCATTTGTCCCATACACAGTTAATTGCCAAAATTCATGTCTGCAAATGGTGGAATAACATCTCTTCTTCTTCTCCCACAATTGTCTCAATCCTCTGCTCAAAGCCATCCATTGTTTCTTCTTCTTCTTCTTCTGTTGTTTTTCTTTGTAAGGTTACGCAGTTTAGATGGATTGCACATATTGTGGGGGTAAAATTGTAAATTCAAGATGAGGATGAGGTGCTTTATCTGTTGGCTTCTAGTGGGATTGGCCTTTTTTTTCATTATCCTCACATGCAAATAATGTTGATGTAAACAGTGCCCCCCACTGATAATGTTTCAAAGAATCTATGGTTCCTTTCTAGGGGTTGTTGTTTACTGTTCTGCTAGTCTAGGGGTGGGGTTGGGGGGTATGGTGTCCTTGTAGATATTGATTGTGAAGCAACAATGCCCAAATCTGGACCATACAAATGGGGTAGTGTTGAAGACAACCACTGCAGTGTGGAGATCTAAGGGCAAAGCTGGGTTTTTCATCCAGGTTCACTGCACATATATATCCCTGTCTGGGAAGTGAAATCACCACTTTACCCCTCTTGGTGTAAGGGTAGGTAGGTAATTGCATAGTAAGGGCAAAATGGTCATTTTCTCACCGAGAATTCATTATTGCTTTCCATGGAGGAGGGCCAAAATGCAACACAGTTACATATAACTGGGAAATGGTACAGTTTCATTTCCTAGTCCAAATATCTTCTAGTTGTGAGCCCTCCTTTGTAAATTGCTTAGAAGACAACTTTGAGCAATAACAAACAATCTTTGGTGTTCTAACATGAAGTCTCTTTCAATCTTTCTTTTTTGTTTGTTTAAGAATTTAAGCTGCTGTGTGATGTGTATAACATATGTTGCAGCTTTAGCTAGTTTTGTTAGATCTCTCAGGCCCCATTTGTTTCAATATCTTTATTTTTTCTTCTTCTTGGGATCAATCCCAAGTGATGAAAAAAGCTTGGGATGGATCTTAAGTAAGGAAAGACTAATGGTTGGTAATCCAACAATCCCATCACCTGAGCGCTCCAAACCTATGTTTCACGGATTCGTCAAACACGTGTTGTTTCTCCTTCTCGAAACGTCTATGTTTAGATATTTGGAGACATTGCGACATCCAAATTCTTTGTAAAATTTGTGTTTCCACGTTTCCGACTCAATCTCCATATGAGTATATGGTTCAGTCTCCGTGCAACTTAGTCTCAAATCTCTGTTTGGTTCAGTTTCAAGAACTAGTTTGGAATAAATTAGCGAATTTGAGAGGTGATTTTGTGAGTGTTTAGAGGAGAAGGAAGCGAGTCGCTCACTGATCATATTCAATGGAGTAAAAAAATTTGAAGGGGATCAAATTAGCCTCATTGTTGCTCGAAAAAAGAAGTGTTTGGATTGAAGAAGAAGAAGAAGAATAGATGGATGGATGGATCGAAGAAGAAGATTTCTTATACACCCTATTTGTAGCGAAGAATAAAAATAGACAAAGGAGAATGAGGCGAGGTTCAAAGCAACAAAAAAAACAAGTGTTATGTGTAACATTTTCAAAATGTTAAAACTAATGTTGGATGAAGTTTGTTTCTCATGCACCTTATATATAATCCGTCATGTATTTCATTATTATTCTTTGAGTAATAACATTATTCTAGTATTATATCATGATATCGGAGCAACGGTTCTTCTTCTCAAAACCTTAGCCCGATTGTCCGATCTTCTCCTCTCGATGATCGGTATCGATTCGTCATCTTCTCCAAGTCAACACTCTGCTTGTCTTCACGCATCAAGTCACAGGGCGAACAGTGGAAAAGACCCATTCGACACACTCCTTGGAGGTTTGCGTTTGTTTCTTCGTAATTTCCATTCTCCCATGCCCATCAAGTTGGAAGACAACAACTATCCGTCCTCGTTTTCCTTCGTCAAAGCAACCCTTCAAGCTCATCGAATCTTTGGATATGTTGATGGTACGGAGAAGGTACTACCGGCGACCATACTTGATGATAAAGCCACAATTGATTTGAACAAAGAACTGATTATAAAATGAAATCTCGCTTATGATCAATGGACAATTATTGATGCTCAGTTAAACGCTTCCCTTCTAGCTTTGCTTTCTCCCACAATTCAGAATCTTGTTCATCTCCGTTCCATTGTTGTTGATATTTAGGATCATGTTCATCAAAGTTATAACGCCCTATCACGCACTCATATTTTTCAACAAAAGGAACAACTTTGTAATCTCCAAAAATGAAAATCTAGTATGCAAACTTAATTGTCTTGATGGTGCTCTCAATATTGTCACGCCTCTAGCCTTTCCCAGAGAATCGATGCCTGAGCAAGATATTATTTTTAGTGTTTTGCGTGGCCTTCCTTTGGAGTAAGCATATTTTAAATAGAATATTCGAATGAATATTGTCACTCTTTTGTTAAATACTATTTTGTTGTGGTTATTGTTTAAAGAACTCAGTCTTCAACTTTAGAAGAAACTTACACTTGTACATCTACCGAAATGCACACTACCCTATATACCACGAATAGTTATGGTCATGGCTTACGACGTGGCAAGTTTTTCGGCACGAGGAGTGCTTGCTGAAACAATGGTGGCGGTGGTCGAGTCCAAAACAACTGCAATAATGGCTATGGTCGCGGTCCTCCATGTGATAATTCTATCATTTGTCAAATTTGTGGCAAATGCAATCATAGTGTGTGGCAATGTTGGAACCACTACGATGAAGATTTTTTGGGTCCGTCTCAGCATTCTAGTAATGCTAAAGCCATATACATAGCCCAAATTGGGCACTAACTCTAGAGCAACAACTCATGTGACATTCTGATTTCTCAAGGTTGAATATTCTGACTTCATAATATGGCTTGAACACCGTCTCCATGGCTAGAGAATAGTCTCTACCGACCACTCATGTTAGCTCAGGACAAGTTTCTACACCCTCTGAGTATTTTTATCCGTTCGACATTTTACCATAAAAAATAATGGTTTTCATTTTTTACCCCTAAGAAGCTTATGATCCTAAACAATCTTACCAACCAAGTGATATATAGAGGCCCATGTGAGCAAGGACTATACACCCTACCAACTCTCCCTGTCCACCCGTCGTCTTCCTCTACCGCGACTCCACTTAGAGACAATGCCCTGAAAAATGTCTCATCAATGGCACTGCCCACTGGGTCATCCATCTCTTCAAGTTACCAAATCATTATTTTCTGAGTTAGGTGTGAGTCTAGAGTCAGATATATTCCATTGTGATTCTTGTTCTATGTCCAAGCCGCACAGCTTACTATTTTCCTTGTCCACTACTGTAACCAATGAACATTTTCAACTAGTGCATTCTAATGTTTGGTATCCTACTTATGTTCTACCATTTGGTGGGTATCATTTTCATATTAACTTCGTGGATGATTTTACCAAGTTCTGGTTGCTCTATTCTTTTAAACACAAGTTTGAGGCATTTGGTGCATTCCAAATTTTCAGTCTATGGTTAAAAATTAGTTTGGGCGTTCAACTAAAAATTTTCAAACTAATAATAGTTGTGAGTATGTCAATCACAAATTTCGACATTTTTTTTACAATAATTGAGGGGTTTTCACCAAAGAGACATTAGCTATAGTAAACTACCTCATTAATCATATGTCCAAATAGTCCACTTAAAAACAAATTCCCTAATGAGATCCTTTATATTACTCCACCCAATTACTCTCATCTTCGAATTTTAGGATGTCTTGCATGTCCTCATATTCGCCATGAAATCGACCATAAGCTATAACCTCATTCCAAACAATGCTTTTCTAGGGTATGAACATCTGTCTAAAGGGTGTCGTTGTTATGATCCATCCACCAATCATGTGTATATTTCTCATCATGTCCAATTCCAAGAGTTTGTATTCCCATACTCCGTCTCTACTCCTCTGTCTGTCTCCAATCTTACTTTAGTGGCTTACTATTATTTTCATCTATTCTTGTGGTGCAACCTAGTCCTACTCACATGACTTCATCATAACCTATACCTATCCTATCCACCCAGCTCGTACCCATCACTCTATCACCTATCTATCACACACCAAGGAGACCCACTAACCTACTTGGTTTAATTTCCAGCCGAAGTCTCATTCACCACCGTCCTTGCCTGCCAAGCACACCCCATCATCCCAACCCCAGCCTCTCATCCCAACCTACCACAATCTACACATAGCCCTTCACCTTCCCCGTCACCTATACCCGTAACTCCACCTCCCATATCCCAACCCACTCACCCAATGATCACCCATGCTAAAAATGGTATCTTTATGCCCATATTTTTTTTACACTAACCCTACTTCCATCATTCCTATGAGTGAGCCCAAAACATATAAAGAGGCTTCGTGTGTTTGGTGCCAACGACTATATGCTGTTCTCTTTGTCTACGACTTCTGCAAAAATAAACATGACATCCGTCCTTACATGGCACCATTGCAGACTAATTTTACTAGTATATGTTGATGATATCATTGTCACATGTAGCTGAACTGAGTATCATGCTCTCTCTTCGGCACTATCTAAAGTTATGTGGCTGACCTATGTGTTGACTGTTCTTCGTGTTTCAATCCCTTCACCTCAGTTTTTCTGCGATAATCAATCTGTTATATGCCTCACAAAAAGTCCAATTTTTTCACAAGCGTATGAAGCATGTAGGGACAAAATGCCATTTTATTCGAAAACAAGTCATGCTAGAGCTGTGTGTGTCATATTTTCTTTGAAGGCCAACTCGCTTAGCTTATCTATTGACTACAGCCTTGTCTTCGCCACGGATCCATGATCTGGTGTCCAAGTTTCCACTTGTTTTTACTGTATTTAGGCTGAGAGGCAATGTTGGGCAGTAATAATAATTATCATTATTATGGTAGCCCCTTATTTATTAGTCAGCTTCTATTATTAGTTTTTGTATTTTTAGTTGGGTTTGTCATCCTCTTATATATACTTTGTCATGTATTCCATTATTTTTTGAATAATAAAATTATTCTAGTATTCTATTAGAATTGTCATCTACAAATGATGATTGAGTGTTTGTTGCGCCATTTTTGTTTGACTGATAAGTAATTGCTATTGTTGTTTTTTGTTACTTTCACGAAATTCAAGAAAATAGTTAAAAAGTAAGATGTGAATAGTTTAAGTTTGTTTTGGAGAAATAAAAATTTATATAGATCACATATTTTGATATATTAAGAAAGTAATTTGGAATGGACTGAAAAAATTAAATAATTAATTTCGGACAAAAAGAGTACATTCCAGTGTAATATTGAGTTAGAACATTTTTTTCTCATTTTTTGTTTGAGATGCACCTCACACAAACCCCATGCACCCTATCATAAGTCCACAACCAACATTTTCGTCATTCTAATCAATTTGAAATCTAAATTAAATATCTAGAGTATTTCATTAAGAAAAATTACCCAAAATAATCCCAACTTTACCCGGTCTTTCAAAAATAATCTCACATTTCACTGTGATGCATAATAATCCCAGCTTTATTGAAATTTGTCAGTTTTGGGTCGCCGTTAAGTTTCTAACGGAGGGTTAACGGAAATGCCCATTTTAGGCAACAAAATGAAAGTTGGGATTATTTTTGATGAATTTTTGTTTTTTAATTTTTTTGAATTTTTTATTTAAATTTTTTGAATTACTTTCAACCTCCATTTATTTTTCTTTTTTTAAAGATTATTCTTACTTTAGAAAAAAAATAGATATAAAAAATAATAAAAATGAGAAAAATAACTAAAACCATACAAAATTAATCAAATAAATAATGTAATCAATAGAAATTAAACAGAAACTGGTAAGAAATAAAATAAATATATACGGAGTGGTGGGTTTTAACATTTTACACGCTATATGGAGTCTTAATGTACTACTTATTTTTTAAAAGAACAAGCCGTCTGGTAAAGTTGGAATTATTGTAGATAATTTTTTCTAAAAAATAAGAAGTGATATGTTAATACTTTGTATAATGCGTAAAATATTAAAACCCACCCGTGTATTTTTATTTTACTTTTACCAATTTCAATTTAGTTTCCATTGATTACCTTATTTATTTTATTACTACGTATTTTTGTATCATTTTAGTTACATTTCTTATTTTTTTCATTTTTATATCTATTATTTTTATTTTTTAAACTAAGACTAATCTTTAAAAAAGGAAAAAGAAATGATGATGGAGGTAGAAAGTAATTTAAAAAATTTAAATGAAAAATTTTAAAAAAATAAAAAAAATGAAAATTCATCAAAAATAATCCCAACTTTCATTTTGTTGCCTAAAACGGGCATTTCCGTTAAACCTCCGTTAGAAACTTAACGGCGACCCAAAACTGGCAAATTTCAGTAAAGTTGGGATTATTATGCATCACAGTGAAAGCTGAGATTATTTTTGAAAGACCGGGTAAAGTTGGGATTATTTTGAGTAATTTTTCCTTTCATTAATCTAATATTTCTTCTATCCCAAATTAATTGTAACACTCTTGAATTTTAGGTTGTCTCTTTATCTTCACTCCTTCACTTTTAAGCAAATATCAACCATACTTGTAACACTTTTAAAGTCAAAACGTCATAATGAATTTGAGAATTGAGGTGATGGTACAAATTAAAATATGATTCACTTTAAGAATCTAAGAGCAATTCTCAAAATTATACTCAATAATTATGTATCTTTCAAATTAGTCCTCAAAATTAAGTAATTATCAAGATGATATTTGTTAATTGAGAATAATTTAAAGTTCAGTCTCTCAACTAATGGCCGTTAAAACGGCGTTAAAACAACGTTATACCCTATACTAATTTCCCAAAATAAGACATTGCAATCGGATGTTTACTCAAATTGGTTCATTTTCAAAATAACAATACATTAAATATGAAAAATTATTTTTAATTTTATAGGATGAGGATATGATAATAAAAACAATGAATATAGTTTTATAAAAATAAAAGTAAATGTTTTAGATTTTTTACAATTATTCAAAAGAATATCATGTAAATAAAATATTTATTAAACATTATTTATTGCTCGCTTAGTTTTGAAATAAGACTCTTTTTTTAGTTTACGATGCCTGACTGAAGTTATTTTCACAAAAACTATAACTGAATAGTACTCTAGAATTTTAAAGTGTATATATACAAAAAAAAATACACAAGAAGTTCTATAAAATAAGATGTGATAAGAGTATCTTATTAAGTGGTAACCACAATGGGAATTTTGGGTTTTGGCTTTTGGAATTTTTGTAATCACATCAAGGCAACTACATCCTAGGTGATCTATATGTAACCGTGTAAAATGACAGCCAACATATGACATTCAAAATATTATGGGAAATTTACTTAAATAGCACTAAAAGATAATGGCTTTCCCTAAATAGCACCATATGTGTTCTTCTTCCCAATGTAGCACTTTTAGTCATTATGCATTAGTCATTATTCAAATAAATATTTGCCATCACTGGACATTATGGATATTATTAAGTGCTATTTAGAGAATAAAACAGTTTAAGTGCTATTCAGGGAAATGACTTAAGTTTTGGTGCTATTTAGTGCAAATATTTCAAAGGGAAATTTACTTAAATAGCACTAGAAGATAATGACATAAGCAACACACACATAAGACCACAAATGTGTGACACCTCAGAGACACCATCAATATAATCATGCTCATCACAGTGGGAGTATATTTTCTCATACATCCATCACAAAAAGTGGTCAATTACTTCTTATAGGCATGATTCTATAGCAAGCACACACATACGACCATAAAGGTGTAACACATTCACTACTCAGAGACACCATTAATATAATCATGCTCATTATAGTAGGAGTATATTTTTTCAGACATTCATCACAGAAAGTGGTCAATTACTTCTTATAGGCAAGATTGTTTTACAATTTACACACATATAAGACCAGAAAGGTGTAACACCTTCAGTACTCGGAGACACCATTAATATATTAATGCTCACCACAATAGGAGTATATTCTCAGTCATTCATCAGGGCCGCACAATTTTTAAAGAAAGCATTATTTAACACTTTCATCAAGTGTATAATTTGAGATAAGAAGGAGAGACATAGAGTACCAATAATTGCATAATAAATTTGAAAAATACTCTAAGGAATTGGAGTTAAAGAAGGTGAAAGGAACTTCCCCACTTGTACTTTGAAGCCCAAAAGTTTGGGTCAGTGCTTGGAAGCAAGATGTTCAATATATCGATGTGGAGGTGCATGCGTGAGTAGATCGCCTCAGAAAGCTCAATCCCACTTTTTTCACACCCCTCAGCCTCATTAATATCACTGTCTACAATAATGAAGTCAGCCTCGTCCTTTCGAAGAAGAAAAAGATTATCTTTCTCATATTCAAGGTCAATAACGTCCTTTCTCTCTCTGACCGGGGCAACATCGGTAGCATCGTCGTCGCTCTCCATGACGATGACCTTGTCCTCCTCGTCTTCAGAGATAAAATCATCGTTCTCACCTTCACCATCTTGAAACTCTGCCTCCGGAAAAAAGATTCAAAGTGGAACTCATGCGATTCAATTGCAGATCTTGAAGACGAAGGAGAGTGATTTAGGGTTTGTGAAGGAACTGAGCAGTTGAGATCGGATATCTAAATAGATCAGATAGGGAGAGGGGAATGAGGTTGGCGAGAAAGTAAATGAGTGGGAGAGGTGTAGTTAGGAGAGTAATGAATGAGATTTAATAAGAGGATATTTTTGGAAGAGTGAGTATGAAAAAGTAGAATGAGAAGATTATTATGGACGAAAAAAAGGTGGAGTGGGAAGTGTAGACACATGGCCAACGGGAAGATCTTTACCGGACGGAGGGTGAAATAAAATCAGTAATCCTAGAGTCATAAACAACTTGGACATAAGTTACACAAACTTGCTATTTGTGTATTTAAACTTTTGTTTTTTAATTACCTAAAATTATATTATTCACCTAGAAAAAATGCACAAATTAAAAATTTGTATACTCCGTAATTTATATTCAAATTGATTGTGACTAACATTACTCTAATAAAATTAATACGGAGTAATACTAAAAAAACATGGAATAATTAAAATTGGGAGAGCTTTTGATTATTGAATGCTCTTCTGATATGCTCCAAACCCCAAGAGGCCAAGAGGGTAGATACAAGTCAGCCAGAAAAAGTCAAAATTATACGCCCGGGGATTCCTTGAATTAACCAAATTAATTAATCTGCGCCACATAAGTTGCGCCACATTGCATGGAACATTTTTTTATTTTCCGTTCCATTCATTTTGTTGAGTAATGCTGGAGTCACAAACAAACATTTCTTAAAATTCACAAACTTGTTTTTTTAACACTTTTCTAGAAATAAGATGCACTCAAATAATAAAAGATATTTCATTTTAAAATCCACAAAAGGCAAGCTTGTGAAGTTTGTGAACTATATATTTGTGACTCTAGCATTTTCTTTTTTTAAAAAAAGAAAAGCTACGGAGAACAATTTTTTTTCAATGGAACATTTTTTTACATTAATTATTTTTAAAATTTTGTGTTGAAATTAGGAGACTTATTTTGGAAAGGGGAATATGTATTTATTTTCATTTGGATTTGTTCTTGCGAAAAAGAACATTATTTTAGGTATTCATCACAAAGATGTCTGATAACGACAAGGAATATATTTATTTTTTTAAGAGACAAGACGACAAGCAATTGATATAACACTCCGTACATAAAATAAATAAAGAATATCTATAAATAAATAAATAAATAAATAAATAAAGTGATTCCCAGCAACTTCATCCTTATTGCGTTAATTAACAACTGTTACTGCCACCTGTTTTCTTGTTTACATCCTCTCGTAGTTAGAGGTGGCAATCGGATCAACCGGATCAGTTTCGGGTTGGATTTTTTCGGTTCGGATATCTTTCGGTTATATGTTATAATCGGTTCAGTTCGGTTCGGATCGGTTAAATTTCGGTTCGGATTTGATTTCGGTTCTATACATTTTTCGGTTCGGTTCGGTTTCGAGTCGGTTCAGATACGGTTCGGTTATAAATCGGTTCGGATAGATTTCGGTTCGGATACAATTTGAGTCGGATATATTTCGGTTTCGGGTCTAGTTCGGTTCATATATATTTCGGTTTCGGATCAAATATATTTTGGATATATATTATTTTCTAATCTTCCCCTTTTGACTTTTTAGTCATATTTTACAATTTGGACTACAAATTATGAAAACATATATATTTAATTATGATATAAATTTAATATAATTAAATTGATTTTGAAATTTAGTTTTGAAATATAAAAATTTTCTCACATCTACTAATATACTTATGTATATAAATGAAAGGATAAAAGATAAATTCAAATAGTCTTATGTTCCATTTGAATANGTTACATATAACTGGGAAATGGTACAGTTTCATTTCCTAGTCCAAATATCTTCTAGTTCTGAGTCCTCTGTAAATTGCATATAAGACAACTTGAGCAATAACAAACAATCTTTGGTGTTCTAATATGAAGTCTTTTTCAATCTTTCTTTTTTGTTTGTTTAAGAATTTAAGCTGCTGTGTGATGTGTATAACATATGTTGCTGCTTTAGCTAGATTTGTTAGATCTCTGAGACCCCATTTGTTTCAATATCTTTATTTTTTCTTCTTCTTGGCATCAATCCCTAGTGATGAAAAAAGATAGGGATCGATCCTGAGTGAGGAAAGACTAATGGTTGGTAATCCAACAATGCAATCATGTGAGCGCTCCAAACCTATGTTTCACGGATTCGTCAAACACGTGTTGTTTCTCCTTCTCGAAACGTCTCTGTTTAGATATTTGGAGACATTGCGACATCCAAATTCTTTGTAAAATTTGTGTTTCCTCGTTTCCCACCCAATCTCCATATGAGTATATGGTTCAGTCTCCGTGCAACTTAGTCTCAAATCTTTGTTTGGTTCAGTTTCAAGAACTAGTTTGGAATATATGGGCGAATTTGAGAGGTGATTTTGTGAGTGTTTAGAGGGGAAGGAAGCGAGTCGCTCACTGATCATATTTAATGGAGTAATTTTTTTAAGGGGATCAGATTAGCCTCGTTGTTGCTTGAAAAAAAGTAGTGTTTTGGATTGAAGAAGAAGAAGAAGAATAGATGGATGGATGGATCGAAGAAGAAGATTTCTGATACTCCCTATTTGTAGCAAAGAATAAAAATAGACAAAGAAGAATGAGGCGAGGTTCAAAGCAACAAAAAAACAAGTGTAATGTGTAACATTTTCAAAATATTAAAACTAACGTTGGATGAAGTTTGTTTGCCATCCACCTTATACATACTCTGTCATGTATTTCATTATTATTCTTTGAATAATAAAATTATTCTAGTATTCTATCCTGATATCGGAGCTACGATTCTTCTTCTCAAAACCTTAGCCCGATTGTCCGATCTTCTCTTCTTGATGATTGGTGTCGATTCGTCATCTTCTCCAAGTCAACACTCTGCTTCTCTTCACGCATCAAGTCACATTGCAAACGGTGGAAAAGACTCGTTTGACACACTCCTTGGAGGTTTGCGTTTGTTTCTTCGTAATCTCCATTCTCTCGTGCCCATCAGGTTGGAAGACAACAACTATTCGCCCTCGTTTTCCATCGTCAAAGCAACCCTTCAAGCTCATCGACTCTTTGGATAGGCTGATGGTATGGAGACGGTACTACCGATGACCATACTTGATGAAAAAACCACGGCTGGTTCGAACAAAGAACTGATATCACGCACTCATATTTTTCAACAAAAGTAACAACTTTGTAATCTCCAAAAATGGAAATCTAGAATGCAAACTTAATTTTCTTAATGGTGCTCTCAATATTGTCCCGTCTCTTGCCCTTCCCCGAGAACCAATGCCTGAGCAAGATATTATTTTTACTGTTTTGCATGGCCTTCCTTTTGAGTAAGCATCTCTTAAATAGAATATTCGAATGAATATTGCCACTCTTTGGTTAAATACTGTTTTGTTGTGGTTATTGTCTAAAGAACTCAGTCTTCAACTTTAGGAGAAACTTACACTTGTCCATCTACCGAAATGCACACTACCCTATATAACACGAATAGTTATGGTCATGGCTAACGACGTGACAGGTTTTTCAGCAAGAGGAGTGCTTGCCGAAACAGTGGTGGCGGTGGTCGAGTCCAAAACAACTGCAATAATGGCTATGGTCGCGGTCCTCCATGTGATAACTCTATCATTAGTCAAATTTGTGGAAAATAAAATCTTAGTGTGTGGCAATGTTGGAACCGCTACGATGAAGATCTTTTGGGCCCGTCTCAGCATTCTAGTAATGCTCAAGCCATGTACATAGCCTACTCTACAAACTCTAGTCCGAATTGGCCACTAACTCTAGAGCAACAACTCATGTGACATTCTGATTTCTCAAGGTTGAATATTCTGACTTCATAATATGGGTTGAACACCATCTCCATGGTTGGAGGATAGTCTCTACTGACCAACTCATGTTGGCTCAGGACAAGTTTCTACACCCTCAAGTATTTTTATCCGCTCACCATTTTACCATAAAAAATAATGATTTTCATTTTTTACCCCTAAGAAGCTTATGATCTTAAACAATCTTACCAACTAAGTGATATATAGAGGCCCATGTGAGCAAGGACTGTACACCCTATCGGCTCTCTTTGTCCACCCGTCGTCTTCCTCTGTCGCGACTCCACTTGGGGACAATGCCCTCAAAACGTCTCATCAACGGCACTGCCCATTGAGTCATCCATCTATTCAAGTTACTAAATCATTATTTTATACTCCCTCCGTCCTAAAACTTTCTTCCTAGAGCACTATTCCAACTTAACGGGAATTTCTATTTATTTGTGTTTTTTCATGGCCTATATGATTAAATAAAATATTCTTGTCACCACTTGTTTTGTTGAACTTTTGATGTAGTTTTTAAATATGTATGTTTTATTTTTTTATTTCTATACCAATATTTAAATAAAATAGATTGAAAAAACTTGGGATTTTTCTTCATTTTGCGCAACAGGAAGAAAGTTTTAGGACGGAGGGAGTAAGTTAGGTGTGAGTCTAGAGTCAGATGTATTCCATTGTGATTCTTGTTCTATGTCCAAGCCGCATAGTTTACTATTTTCCTTGTCCACTACTGTAACAATGAACATTTTCAACTAGTGTTGTCTAATGTTTGGTATCCTACTTATGTTCCACCGTTTGTTGGTTATCATTTTCATATTAACTTTGTGGATGATTTTACCAAGTTCTATTGGGTCTATCCTTTTAAACACAAGTTTGAGGCATGTGATGCATTCCAAAGTTTTCAGTCTATGGTTAAAAATTAGTTTGGGCATTCAACTAAAAATTTTCAAACTAATAATAGTTGTGAGTATGTCAATTACAAATTTGGACATTTTTAAAAATAATTGAGGGGTTTTCACCAAAGAGACATTAGCTACACTAAACTACCTCATTAATCATAAGTCAAAACAGCCCCTTCAAAACAAATTCCCTAATCAGATCCTCTACAGTACTCCACCTGATTACTCTCATCTTCGAATTTTAGAGTCATGTCCTCACATTTGCCATGCAATCGACTATAAGCTACAACCTTGTCCAAACAATTTTTTTCTAGGGTACGAACATCTGTCTAAAGGGTGTCGTTGTTATGATCCATCCACCAATCATGTGTATATTTCT